TTCATTCATTCATTCATTCATTCATTCATTCATTCATTCATTCATTCACTTATTTAGTATGTCACCCATCTCCCCCAGAGGGTGACCAGATGAAGTCCAGACAGCTGGAGGGCACCCAAACTTCTGAAGAAGAAACATGGCAATCTGTTGAGTGGGGATGGATATAGGTCTGTGTCTAATTTTCCTGTAGCATCAGTCATACACCGGGAAGGGTCCAAAATGATATGCTGATAGGCACTTTGTGGGAATTTTTGCCAAATGGCTTTCACGAGGAAGGGCTTACACCATCACAAAAAAGTTGTCCATTGTAAGGGCAACTAATCACAAAACTTCTCATTTCCAAGAAGGCAATCGAATGTAAATAAAAACAGAAATGGTATGTTCAAAAGTGAGGTCCATATTCTAAAATACAAAATCATTCTTTGAGCTTGAAAAGTTGCGCCCTTGTACCCATTTCACAGAAGACAAACTGATAAGGCTCAGAAACAAGTAACATGGCTCAGAAACTGAGGACCAGGATCCACTTGCACAGAAGATAAACTGCAGTGAGACATTGGAAAGTACCCCCTTAAGCAAAATAGCCCAAATTCACATTAAAAAAAGAGACAAAATATGCACACACCACACCAACAGCCAGGCAAAATACCACACACACACAAATACATATCATACAAAGGCAAAACACATATTTCATTAGGGATGTATGACCCTCTTGATTTCAGTTTCTCTTCATTTCCAATTTGGTCTGGCAGGCTTCTTGCATTCCAAATGATGCCTATGACATATTTCTGTGGATATGCCCCTTAAAATACAGATGTGTATATTTGTAAATGTCCACAATATATACACCACATTTGTGGAATTGTTGCCAACAAGCATTTGTGTAGTTAAGTACGTTTAACGACTGCCTCATTTAGTGACTGTTCACAGTTACAACGGTGAGAAAAAAGTAACTTTGCCACCAACCCTTATATTATGACCTTTGCAGGTCTGTAAAGCAAAGGAAAGCTGAAGGAAAATCATAAGCACAGTCAGTTTCACTTAGTGACCACTTCACTTCACCATTCACTGATGGTCCCAATTGTGGTCACTAAACGAGGACTATCTGTATATATCTGTGCGTGTGCTTTGATTAGAGAATTTCATCCCTGAAGTTTTCCCAGCTGAACACACATCATCCCCACCCCACCAATGAAACAGAAGGTGTCACAAAATGGCAGGAAAACGCACACCAGACACCAGCCCAAGGCAGGTAAAATATCACTTCCATGCACACCCGTTATGACTGTCTAAAACCTAACTGGGGGTCCTGAGGTATTGCTGAAAATAAAGGATGGCACTAGAGGCCAGCGATTGGTTTGTTGCCATGCAAATTTCCCAGTTCAAAGCCAATTAAATAACATTTAAACGCATTTTGTAAAAAATGGAGAGAGATGGGAAGGCTGTCAGAAGCCAAAGAGGTGGCTGCAGATCTGCTCAGCCCAGAGGCACCAACGTTGAGGAATTTAGTATCGAAAGATCGACTAGGCAGAGGTGGATTGCGGGCAGCATGACAGCTTGGCTTTCGTTAGAAGCCCCAGATATAGAACCCTCCACGAGGCCAAAAGCACAACGTTCATATTTGCAGAGTTTTCTCTCTCTAAGCCAGTGTTGTCCAAACTTGGTCCCTTTAAGACGAGTGGACTTCAACTCCCAGAATTCCCCAGCCAGCATGGCTGGCT